ATTAAAAATTAATGACCCCTATCTAAATTAATCATAAAATGATCGAAAAGGATGTATCATTATCATGTTAGGTAAATAAAATTTAGAAGAAAAAGGCATTTAGTGTCCTTTTCTATTCACTGTCATAAATTAAAGTACATGATGGGAAAGTTTATTTAATAAAATGACAATGAAATATTATTACACAAAACAATAAATCTTTAATAAACTGAATATTTTAAATGATTTGATTTCATGTTGCATCATTTCAGTCAAATAAAATAAAAAGTTACATACGAAAATTGACTGACTGCTCGCAACCAAGCACTTTAAAATTTTACGTGTACGAGCTTTAAACATTAAAGAATACAATAAATTTCATAGCTTGTAGTAAATCTATTCACTTTATACTCTTTATCAACCACAGACCAGTTTTGTTTTCCAAAAATGGATCGTTATAGTTATATTTAGGCTAGCCCAATAATTTTGATTAGAGCATTTTTATTCAATACTATTAAAGAGAATGCAGTAGAAATCCTTAAAATGTTAAGAAACTAGAAACACTATACTTTAATAATAAAATTAGTAACATTAATTCGTCACTAAATAGTAACCGATTTCGTGTTTGTATGGACCTTAGTGATGATTGATTGTCTGAGCCCCCGCGCAGCCCTAAACTAATTAACTTGATATATCAGTGAACTGTGTTTGATGTTAGGTGGTTGGAGGCGATCAATAAGCTTTGCATTATCTGGTACTCATCAACAAAGTGTATCTGCAATTTCGAAGGAGGAAATCCTTCCAGTGGGATCCAAATTCATTTTAGCCCGTGTTACTACTTCTATTGCTCTGGGATAAGTTCTAATAATGTTAACTCGCTGTGCTAATGTGGTATGGCAACTTGAATTGATGCACATATGTCAGGTTTTGCGTTGCTTGTGACTGGCTGACATTGATATCAAGACATTCAAGGGATGACTTATCATCTACGAAATGGAAATATTTAAACTGTTCAATAACTGAGTAGCAACGAACATGTACAGTGCTTAGCGTTGGTTGAATTTTTATGACAAATTTGATCTAGATTCTAAAACCAGTATTTTTTATCCGCGCCTCCAGCAAGTATTACTGAGACGGACAAGTTAAAATGACATAGTTCAGAAAAATACAATACAAGTTATTCAAATAATTATTTGATCATCAAACCCGTCACAAGGACTAAAACTAGTATATAAATATAAATGAGAATGGCATATTGTGTTCATCACTTCCGATAGTTATTTATTAAATAGTTGTTCTCTTTAAAATGTACTCAACGATTTAGTTTTATCAAAGGATATTCCATCGATAATGTAGGAAAAATAATTAATTTCTCAGTTTCAAATGTCCAGCTAAGTATCATCTCTGATTTGAAGTGCAAATGTAGAATTATTCATTTTCCTATTTCCGAAATCGCTTCTTTTCTATTACATGAAATTGATTGATACCAGTAAGCAGATTTGCAATATATCTACATAATGTTATCAGTGGCCACTTGAGAAAATAAAGTCAGATAAAAGCAGTTTTGCAATTACTATTATTAATGAACATATAAAGGTAGTGCAAATAAACGTTATTTCTTATATAGAATTCACTTGGATGGATAACAAATAAATAATCCAAACAAACATTAATCATATCCTCTACCATAAGTGTTTTTTCTCAAACATTTTATTTCAATCTACATTCAGCATTTTTGATTGTGGTGTATGCAAAGAAAATAACTTACATTTCATTTAATGCAAATATAGAACAGTGAATAAGGCAGTCATGGCAAACCTTTCTGTCTCACTAAAAATTGTACAAACGGGGATTTTAGAAACCATCTCCATCGTTAATAAACCATCCTTACTATAAATTTACTGCATTCCCTTATTATTTCTGTTTACATATAAAACTTGAAATTACTGTCCACTGATTTATAGTTTACATGTATTTTTCCTCAATCTATAAATAATCTAAATATATTCAACAGAAAACGCAGTACAACAACTAAATATGTCAGTCGACAAACATCAGCTGAATGAAAAGATCTTGATTCTTGTTTGGCTGTAGAATACGACTCAACTTTTCCTATGATAGGTTGACAGACCGATTTCCCGCCGATACGGAAATCAGTCTGTAAGCACTGGAACAGTGTTGGGATAAAATCATTCCACAACTTCTAATAATTTACAACATTTTGCTGTACATGCTGAAAAAATCTAACTATGCCGCATCCAAAGAATACATAGTTGACAAAAATGTACCTTAATAGTGGCCAGAGTAATGAAAAAAAAAATAAACCACTGTAATCAGCTGGACGTTAGTTCAGAGTGACAAGTTTATCAAATTTAAAGAATGACAACAAAAAATGGCATTATCAAACAAACATAAATGAGATTTTGAAAGAAGCATTTCTTGGACAGTCTGTTTCAAGCTGTGAGTTTAAGACGAAAAACACACTAACATGTTATTTGAATAATAAAGATATTACACCAAAATGATATGGTATGAAACCGTGAGCTAAAGTGTAGCTAACGTCAACAATAACGATCTCTTTGTATTCAATGTTATCTTCTACATCACATATTATTTAAAAACATGACTTCATACTTTAAACATTTTTATGGGAATCATCATCCAATTAACTTGCCAATAAACTAATATCATCTAAAAAATATAACAAATAATCAAGACTCGTTGTTGTTCTATTTTTAATCTACTTGTATCGATCTATATTGGTTAAAATGTCTTTTGAGAATTCTTAAAGTAAACTATCAAGAATCATCCTAGAATATTGTACAACACTACTGAGGAGCTCTTTAACTATGATTAAAATTGGTTATTTTGAATACTGGTGATTTTTTAAATGTCTTTTTATTGGTCAACATGCGATTTAATTAACACGCTAGATCGATCTTCAGACGTGAAAGTTTGAAACGCTATAAAGTAGTCTGTTGCGTACACTAGACAAGACTTGTAGTGTTTACAAATTATAGATTAGATATGCGTTCAGTGACCCTCCAGGTTTTATAATGTCTTACAAACTGTGTCATTTTATGATGACACTTATTTCATAATTAGAAATAGCTCATCAATAAAGTGAAATATATATACTTGCTTTTTAATCAATGATGCACTCCGAGTTTATATAAGCAAATGTTATAAGTTTCTTAACAATAATGCAATAATTGTCAAAGTCACAATCGATAGTTCAACTATATAACTTAAACTTGTACTTCAACCTTTCCGCTGCGTATATTTACTCTTAGAATATTGATATAGTCACAACATTTTAGAAAATCATCTACAATATTAATAATTATTTTGTTAATTGTTATAACTAACCAGTTGGCAGCCTTCATAACCATGTTTAAAAATAAGTGCTCAACAGTAAAGAAATTGTAGAACAATGACTACAGATACAATATCGAAATACAGGTCACTCAAGGAAATATATCTTTGAATATGTGTAAATTATAAAACATATATGTATTAGTAACGTTGCTACTGCAACAATTTACTGTTGTAATTAGTTTCTGGAACAATACTAATTGACATAAAAATTAATTCTCCAATGTTACAAAATCCGATCCAAAATCATGTAGCAGAAACTGTAATTATGATTTAATCGGAACATTAAAAATCCAAACACTAATAACTAGACCACACAAATAACAAAAGCTCAAGTACATTTAGTCCCTTTCTTGATATTTTCAATACATCAAAATGAATAAACGGAACTAGAGAACTTCACTCATAAATAAACTTGAAAAGCAACACTTGAGCAAAGAATTAGGAGTGGATTAATTTTTCTAGTTACCGAGTGCCAAGCACTCGACTCCTTAGTTTTCTGTCTCATTCAGAAGTAACACAGTTTAAATTCAAAATGTATAATTTCTGACAAGCGCGGAACTGCATTTACTTTTATATGCTGAACCTAAAACTGTCATCATGTTCACTGCAAGTATACACTGAAATACAGCGAATCTTTACTTATATGTGTACAAAAAACACGCTATCACTTAGTTCAAGTATAACCGGAAATCTGTATTACTTGTTGGCACTAAGGCCATAAAAAAGCTATTAGTTAGCCGATGTATAAATTTGTAATCTTAAGTGGTATGAAAAACAAAAATACATGTAAAAAAAATGTTTCAATAGAAAAAGGTTAGATAAAAGCCTAAAGCCAAAGGTTTTGTGTTTGGTTAACTTTGACAAAGTAAAGCCTTCATACTTCCTGCAAACATTAGGACGATTGAAATTTTACTCTACCTAAATATTTGCTTAAAGCTCGAGTTGAAATCTATACTGAACAAAAAACTAATCTTGACTGAAAGTATATATAATGAGTGTGAGAATTCGATGTTCCATAGGTGTTCAAACTATATTACAAAATCAACAAATTGAAATCGAAATTCCTATTGTGTGGATGAACAGAAAGTTGATTCTTAATTTAAAATTGTTTCTCATGATCCACTAATCGTGTAATATAGCGTATATAAAATAAGAACTGGCAGAAAAAATAACGTTTTCATAATTATCTATCAAAAGGACACGGGACACATCCCGAACAAATTTTAAAATACAAGTTAGGGGTTGAAACAATCATGAATTAACAAACAAGCGGACTAGAACCTCTGCAACTCAAGTATAGTTTGTCATCAGACTTTCTGACGGTGGTTATTTGTTGATCTTATACGACTATCTGCTAACCATCAAACGAAGCTTAAAATTAAAAATGGTGAAAAGTAAGATTTGAGATGTTATGAGAAAAATAATTGCAGAAATCAGAACAAAGTATTTAGCTATGCATGTTTATTTATCAGTGCGGACTGATAACTGTCAAGTATAATTATGTCAACCAGCTATTGCTCAGTGGTTAGATAACTTGGATTTAGTAAGACTGTAAAAACTAAATGATCGTAAACTAATTCGTGCATTAAAAGTCACTTTTTTTCATTTTCAGTAAGTGAAGTAACTGAAAAGTAAGTTCTTACTCTCAACTTTTAATCTTCCTGTTTGAGCTGTAATTGAAACCTTCATCCGGCCTCTCCTTTCTGTATGATCCATTCCACAAAGTCGTGGAGCCTTAGATGTACATCTCTTATGAACATTTAGATTGCAGTCTGTAACGTGACAAACAAAATTTGACAAACTGTATAGAAACAATAAATAGGCTAGTAGAATTCAATACTCAAAATACATTAAATCTCTATTCAAAATAACAATCACAGTTTCCATAACTGCCGTAAGCAATTTTTAAGTTTCAAATGCCACAGATGATTGAATATGATAATAATACACGGATAATACAAAAAACGTCATCATTAAATAGTAAATGTCACACAGTCTTAAATATGCAGTTTAAGTGAGACAGTATAATAATTACCATTAATTATCTTCCCTATCAAGAAATTTGTGTTTATTCATTCGACAACTATCCTCGAAGCCTGCTATTTTGCGTAGCTTGATTTGTATTACAATTTATTCCACTGTTACCATTCTTTTGCTTTTACTTTCCTGATATATGTAATAGTTTGTTTGACATATGCATAACTTTGTAATATGTGAATAAGTTAGTGGATATATCAACTTAATAGTTCGATGGATGGCCTGTTGTACCGTAAAACAAAGAACAATATATCCGAATTCCAGAATAACCATCAACACATAAATCTAGCCGACGGGTCTCAAGTGGGATGAAACGTGCATCCTAGATTTCATCGCCAGTTGCAATTCGATTTTTAATTTCCTACTGCAGTTTCCCATTCCCTAATCCTTTAGCATTTTCGGTTAACAACCACATCAGATGCATACGACTTGAAATCTACGAAGCTTTTATGCATGATCAATGATTCTCTGGTTCTTTAAATTTCTAACTAAAACTCACTCGGTGAAACACCCCTCATTTGCACAACATGCTCAAGTAATTCCACTACATACACCACTGTTAGATAATATTGTTGCCATGTCATTCGTTTACTCAACCATGCTTATCAATCTAGGATGATGAATCAGGTGAGTTACAAGGAATCAGTTGTATCCATTTCAATCTTCTTACAGAAAATATCCAAATACTTCAAAAGATTATGTACTACAAAAGCAAGAAAAATCCTAAATACCCAGTCTTCTGAGTCCAGGATGACCTTGCTTTTGACTACTTTTTAAGTGTTTCCAGTAAGATTGAACACATTTTAACTAAAAAAGCTTTTGAAAGCTATTTCAGAAGATTTTTCTTGTAAATATTCTATACTTTACGATGTATTTCTTTATTTATCATGTAGCAATCTAAGATTTAAGTCAGTTTAATACAACCAAGAATTAATTTCTACGGTCACATTATTCTGAGACAATGGTAACTATGAATTTGTAGTTATTAGATACAAAAGGAAAGGCTACATAACTAAATAAAATAACATGAATTCGAACGTAATATTTCAGTTAGACATCTAATACAATAACATTGAAGTTTTGCGCAAACATTATACGAGCTTTAGCTTTGAATGACATTAGGATCATCTTAATTTAATTCAATTCTATTAAGAGCGTTAATATAAGATGCCAAATCCAATACTACGGGCAGAAAACACATCATTATTCTTAACATACAGCAGTATTAAAGTTCAGATCAAACAACGATGTGATGGTGTTTTGAATGATTGAGAAAATTATTAAATAGTAGGCATTACTTAGTAGATTACAAAATAAATTTATTTAAAATGCATACCCAATCAACCAATAAAAGGAAAATAAAGGGACACTCTCTCTGAATATAATCAGATAAATGATTAAAAACGTTAGGTAATTTATCAAATGTGCATTTAAAGCTACCTAGGATACGACTACTCACTTTTACATTTATATCCTTGATGTAGCAAACCATAAAGAAGAGAACCACAGTGATCACAAAATGTTGGGCTCGTATACGTGTACAGCACGAAATCGTGTTTCTTCTCAAACTATGTAAATAACTTAATTCATATTGTTTCAAACATACGTCTGTATCTGGTCCAGTATCTGCACCAGGGCACTGAAAAGTAACTAATTGATAACACCTTTTATGAACCGTAAACAGACAAGCTTTGCACTGAACACCTTGTATACCGAGGCCCCTAAAATAGAGTTTATATACATTTATTTCCAAAATATACCATATGAAGTCTTTACAATGCCCGCAAAATGTGAACTGCTTTAAGAATCGTGCAACAAACTCATGACCCTTAACATATGAAACATTCTTTTCTCGCAATGCACCTCGCCTCGCAAAGCGAATAGGATTTTGAACCGATGAATAACCACTAGAAGTAAGCTTATTAGCCTCTGCAACCGATGCGGAGAGAGATGACATTTAGTAAGAATTCGAAATTGTTCTCATATTTTAACCTTCGAAACGACAAGGTAAAACATCAGGTTTCCTTATAGCTAAGATATGGTAGATTTTACTTTGGAGCATCAATAAAAATGGATAATCCTTTTTTCACTTTAGCTATATGTTCCTAACTCAAGAGGTGGTCAAAACTAGATAGCACGAACATTCATTATTTGATAACTTAGTCGGCATGATCTATTTCGGCATCAGTTTAAGAAAGACAACATGCTGAGTGGTCTGTGTTCATCCTACTGATAGTCTACCAATTCTTCTGACTTCAATTACTTGTTGAGGTAAAGAGTTAGGCTCGCTGATGACTCGATAAGACAGTCAGAAGTAACCTGTGTAGTGATTATTTATGGGATTGTGAACATTTTGAAGTGTCTACGTAAACGCTCTGTTTTCGGATCCAAGAAGAATTACGACACGTGGAACACAAAATTATCATCAGTTAGTTTAAAATTATGTTCAAGTCTCTTCTAGTTCGATATGATTGGGGGAATATATCTAGTTTATCTAGTATCTCGTCATACATCGGCTGTGATTCTGAGAATAAATTTAAATGTTAAATGTTTAAGAGGACTCGAGTAAGTGATCGAGGCATTTCGGACACATTTGTCAATACTTTTTGAAATATATATCCACCAGTCGTTCGTCCTAAGATCGAGTATTAGCCTAAATGAGACAGTGAATTGCTCTATACTACAAGTAGCTAAACATTACTCATTATTGTGCGTCTGTACCTTAGTTACTAATTTAAACTACGATACACTTAAAACTGTTTGTATGTGAAGAAGAAATTCTAGACCATTCAGATAACTTCTGTCATCAACGCTTCCTAAACCGTCACCTTTATTCCATATTTTCCCCTCCCGTATCCTGATAATCTCGGCATACGACGAAACCTATGGTGATAGATGCTGTGACAGAATGAATATTCGAATATTTAAAACCCTCATAGCCTTTTTCCGAGTATTATTATTTATATCTTCATTATATAATTAGCAGATATCTATGTTGTTACATTCCGACATCCCACTTATTATAAAATTCCATTAAACCTATTAACTGATATCACACTATATACCATTCCTCAATTATTGTTAGCTGATTATACACCGTTTGCTCCATCCCTACCATAAATGAGTTAATTGTGCTTAAAGTATGATTTCTTATTTGACATACTGTAAGGCCAGTGAAATGTCATTGAGCCGCGAGGTGTGACTTCGAAGTTAGTTGGTTCGTCACACCATTCCCGTTTAACTCGAGTAGACCTCCAGTCATTCGACACAGATCATCTACGTTGGTGGTCTACAATGTTGATTGGTCATAGATGTTCATTGTTTCATCTCTTCTTTTTTCGTTACCCGTTGATTTGAATATGAAGCAGAAGCGTGGAATGCAGTGGATACATCAGACATTCGATTTAGACCTAGTAAATGAAGTAAACATGCTACCGCATACACATTAACAAATAAGGACGAAGACAATCACCAAAGAAGTGGCTTCTAAAGAAGAAACCCGAAAGTTCACTAAAGAAAAAGCAAAATCCTGAAGTACAACACAGATGTTTATAGTCATACATATACAGTTATACCTTAAACAAAACATAGACTGTACTAACAGATATAAATCATTATCTAAGTAAGAAACTGACTGTTTGCAGGTATATAAATCACCCATCTTAGTTTTCCGTTTTAACTATCTCATAGCTTACTTTCTGCACTTCCCGCTTTTAACACAAAATTGTTCATTTTTCATTGAATATTTCCTTTTTTGGTTATCATAGGTGGGCAGACATCCCCAAATATCCTCGCCGAAACAATACGCTGCGCAATTATAAATATATCACACTTATCGTGCCGAAAGATCATCGATGGCCACGATATAACAAGATACTACGAAACGCAAACTTTTAGAATTATAATCTACTTTGGTATTATTACTGCTTTAATAATAGACCTAATCCTAACATTGCAGATTTATCATGGCAATATATTTAATATATAATATATTTCTGCAAGGTCATGTACACGCCATTTTTACAGGCATGATCTAGAAATTACAACACTTATTGTTTCGCAGTATGCATCCCTAGCAGAGTTGATAAAAAAATATTATCTATGAAAGTGAATATCATTTAATTCTTTTAGATATATTGAGTAGTCTTCAAAATATTTTCCAAACTGGCATCACATCACACACCAGACCCAATCTCGGCATAATTGTGTTAGGATTTTGGTATTCATGCAATGCAACTTTTTAAGTTGCGCTTCGTGTGAACTATGACTTTGGAAAAACATGTACGTCTAGTTTGTTCCAAATGTCAGAAATTCCATCGCTGTGCCCTAAGAGCTGAAAAAAAGAAAAACTGAGGAGCAGCAAGGCATTTGGATATGAACGACAAACAATACTTGACGTTTTGTAGTCGAACAGAAGGAGGTATGATAAATTATTGGATTAAATTCGTACTAGCTCTTGTTGCTAGAGTGAAATGTGATCAGAGGCTCCAGAAGATAGATTGAAGTAATGAAGAACAAGGAGTTGTGATATTTTTCAAAGTGGAGTAGGTTAAAGTGAAGGAAGGAATTCAGAGTTGGAATAAGGAAGATTGTTTATTAGAACGGAAAGTGCATGTGGAGAATAAAGCGTCAAGTAATTTAATAACTGTCTTTTGTTGTTAAATTTTTTTCTTTTTTTATTCATCCGATGCCTGCCAAACAGTCCTAGTGTAAAAGTCCGAGTTAGAATGTTATAGGTTGTCTTAGTATAATAGGTAATCCTGCATAAAATTAGAAACATGAGTCTGAATAGTGAGAGTAGGATAACAACCTTAATATCACAGATTGATCGACTTATTCACAATCATGATGAGCCTGGTTGTCAAGTCATGGTGATGCTTTATGACGATATCCTGAAACCATTATACCTAACTCCTTATAGTGTTGATTGAGGAGTAACCACTTGAAAATAGGTATTGTTGTTTTATGTGCCCCTGAAATATAAGAAGTTTGTAGCGTTAAAGAATCCAAGCTGCCTAATTATATTATGAATTTCAATCCAAAAATATTCGTCTAGTGTTAATTTTAGCAGTAGGTTCCGGAGTTTTGATTTTAAATGTTTGTTTAGGAAACAACTACCAGAGAGTTTAGTTATTATACTAGTGCAGTTGATAATACCTAAATTTGTAACTTTATTATTTAAACTACGTTCGTCTTTTTAGGCTGTTAATATGATTGACCAACTCATAAGCCCAAAGACACATAGCAACAACGAATATGATAGGTTTATTGAAAACTATTAAAGGCGATTCAGATGATATTCAAATTTAAAATACAGAGATATAGTACAACGCATGTACTAGCCAGGTTAACATGCAGGTTGGTGAGATATATGACAATTTAAAATAATAAATATGACCAGAAAAATAATTTTTAAGTTAAGACAACTTGTGAAACTTGAGATAGGAATATGACGAGTTATAAATTTTCCATTAGAAGTTCCTATATTTAGTCTAGTGATATTTGCAAATATATGGCAAAAGCAACTGGAACGAAGAAATGTCTTTAAACAACACACTTTTAATAGTATATTGTAGTGTAAAGCTATTACAATTTTTTATACCAAAAAAGTTTTGAGAGTGGTTTGTATGTAATATATACGACTAGTCTCAGTGAAAATATATACATGCTAAGTACAGTAAATCATCCAGTAGAATAGTTAAAATCGCCTTCATTTTTTTGAAAATTAAATCTGTTAGACGACATATATAAGGCCATTCGTGACTAGTAGCAATGATCCAAAGCATCCAAAATAAAACGTGCAGTATGGCAACTAATTCCAGGGTACTTGGTGCTGTTGAACTTTTTGTCACTCGTTCGAATCAGAACAGTTGAATGTATCCAGATAATTGTGTGGCTTTCACTGTATGAACTATCTATAATGACCTTGTAATTGCAGAAAATTTATACTTTAAACTCACCGTATGTTTTTGGAGTGGTGTTATCCTTGTTGTTTAGCAATGGAACTACAAAATTGGAAATTAGGAAGGCAGTCGTCGGGAGAAAAGATATTAGAGAATAGTGCATAGTTTAAAACACAATGAGGCGTTAAGTGAAGAAACAATATGAAGAATTAGATCCAGATAACTATTTAGTCCTTGCTTACGTTGCTAACCGATGCATATTTAGGTTATTTACAGATCATGTTTACTTGAGTTTGATGTTTAACAAGTTTATTTCGCTGAAGTACATAGATGCTATTAAAGCTTGTTAATGAACCATCTTAGGTGATAATTGATACAGATGACCAGTTATCATTATTGATTGAGTTGATATGTTATGAATATTAATCAACATAACATTACGACAATACATGTGAGCATTGATTAGAGGACTACTAGAATAACGGGTTTCATATGTAAAAGTGTGAATAAGGATTAATAATGATAGAACAATATATTTACTATGGATAAAAGATTATGTTACAACACTTAAGAGTGAATACGCCTGTAAGGCCGAGCCATGCCACCCGAATAATTGGAATTAATTGGATTGTTTCTTCCCGCTTTTTCCATCACTGGGTTTTTCGCCCCGTTAAATATTGAATCTCTTTTCTCAGTTGTCCCGTGTCCAGCTTTTAGGATTGTGTGGTTAGAGCCATGTCACTACAAGCTCACTAGAACGGACAGCCTGATAATCTAATAACTTCAAACTAATATGAGATTCTTTCTGTTTAGTCCCAATCAGTCTACAACTTTCCGTATATATTTTTTGGACCTTCCGTTGGTTTTGGTTCGTAACTTAACGCCTTGTTTCAGCCTCATATTCCCACTCTATTATGTCTGGTGGGATAAGCACCCATCTGTCTTTAAACCTTCTTGACCACTGATTCTTTGTTAAGAATTTTGTGATTCATTTTACTGCAATACATAATACTATGTCCATATATAACTCATAATTTACAAGCTGGAACTGTCTGATATGCTTGTGACACTGTAATTTTAGAAATAGTTGTGGAGCATCGTATAGAATATATTTCATTTAACTATCACCTTGGAAGAACCTGATGTCGTAAATGATGAATAAATAAATAAATTTCCGAATATTTGCAGTGATTCTATGTTGTTTGAGTCCTTCGAAAACAAAGTTCAGACGCTAGAGATGAGGTTCTCTGTTCGAACTCGTGATAAGGCAGACATCTTCGTATATGTAAGTGAAGTTGAGACCCATGAAGACATGATTCATAAAATTGCTGAAACGTTTGTGCAGCATTTCTTGAACCGAAAGGGATGAGCAACACTTAATAGAGTCCAAAGAGAGTGATAAGTAGCAGTTTTAGAGATATCGTCTGTAGGCATGAGATATCGGTAATATTCTGCTACCAAGCTGGTTTTCGAGAAAACAGTTGCGCCTTTCAATGTAGCTGTCACTTTGTGAATATGAGGCAACGGGTGACGATCAGGATTGGATGTTTCACAAGTCAGTCACGTAGTCGAATTCGTTTCGTGCCAACCTTAGCTTTTCGGGAGGTAGTTGTCACGCTTTTGAGAATACAGCTGATCCTGTAGTCGTGATGTAATGTGCAACATTGCGTGTTACGTACGGTAATTTCGATCGCCTTTTGTATATTTTACCGTACTTGTCCAGTACCCGTTGACAGTATGGATCGATTATGTACCTAACAGTTACTGAGGATAACCTACAGCCAGAAAAGGAAGTTAAACTGACAGATGCATCGGTATTTCTGTCCGTTAACTCCCGTTTGTGCGTGTAGATGTTTGGATTATGTTTAATCAGGTCTATACCTTAGGCTGGCATAGATAAACCTGCAACAACAGAAATCTGGTGGATGGATTTGTGCAAACTCGCATTGGTGTGAATAAATCGCTTACCATATGTTGTAATTGGTTTATTGTTTGACGAATGTAAGCGGAAAACAGGTTCGTGCAGTTGGTAGTTAAATTTGCTGGAAAAATGAATAATTCTGCCCTAGTGTCGACCAGTTATCGAACTTTCGTTATCACATTTGTGATGTATAACAGACGGCTATGTTCGCCGGCTACGGTTGCAGTTAACATGTACTGACTAGGAAGCTTACCGTGAAGTTTTTCCTTTCGGATGTCTTAGAGCTTTTGGAATTATGGTCTGTTTCATTATTAGTACTGCTCTAATAATATGTCTAATCCTAAAATTGTAGATTTACCATGATGTGACTACGTAGTCTACAGGATCTTACGTGGAAGTCACATCAATATCTACAATTATTCGTCCATTATATGGTGGGAAACACATTAAGACGGCAGATGGAATACTTTATTTTATATGAATAAAAGAGATAAGTTACCTAAGAATGTTCCAGCGTCCTCCATAGTTAAGCTTCTTTACGTGTCAGTTGTTGAATATGGGTCTTTTCAGTAATTACAAAGTTCGCACTGTTAGGGCCCAGTGCCTCTAAAAGCTCGAGTAACTGAAGGGTTTTTGGGAAGAATTATCATACTTATTATGGTGCCGGCATCAGAAAGTATTATCCATCTTTCATGTTCTACAGACAGATCTTTGTGGTTACGAGCTTCTCCAAGAAGTTGCGATGAACATCGAAAAAAGGAGTTGGAGTGTGTGACGCTGTTCCAATTTGATACAAGCCTTTCTTTGACGGAATAAACCTTATCGTCGAGGGATTCTAGTGACCCTCAGAATCCGGTCATCAGGTGCAGGCAATTCATCAACAGCGTTATTTTGGAATGACACAAGCACTACTTTTGCCTGTTGAGGAAGACTTGACAAGATGAGCTGTTAAAACAGGCTGCTACTAAAGGTCCGTTGACCAGTGACCTTCTGTAACATTTCTGTTGCTTAGCAATGTTGCAGCTCTATGTTTTGGAAGAAGTGGTCTTGTGAATCACCAGCTTAGATGGTATGTGTCGAACGATTGAAGGCGTAATTGAGTTAGACGGGAATGGTATGACAAACCAGCTAACGTTGAAGTCACACCTCGTGGTCAGCACCTTACGTGCACTACCCCATTGACGTATCGAGGTACTATAGATGCTTTGAAGACTGTACAATACAAAGGACGTTATTACAGAAATATATTAGTTAAAGCGGATACAAGGGAAAGTATGACCATCACTGCATGGGCCAGTCCAATGGCATACTATTAAATGATGCCCGTTGGTTGTCCTTGACCTCAACAGGAATCGATGATCAGTTAGATATTCAGTGACCCAACTGCCGTATAACTTAGGAAGGACTCAGTGACATTTCACTGGTCCTTCAGTCCAAACTTTGTCGGTCGGCTAGGTCTTCACGTTTAATGTTAGCCTTTTTAAAGTGTCGCAAGGTTCTGGAACATCACCAGTAAGCATACTATGTGTGACGTGCCTTCACTACTGTAAGGAACTGTGCATATGGGGCTGTCACGCCGTGCCCGCGAAAGTCGTCTGTATAGTAGAACCAGACTTCTACATTATCGGGCCGGAATGGCACTGGCTGAAAGTGTCTTCGTCTTAGAAGTATCTTCAGCCATTACGAGGATATAATTCACCGATGAGCGAGAAATAATACCCGGAAATATGAAGACAATATCACAATAAAAATGATATTAAAAACGATATATAATGTTTCATAAAGGAACGGACTGACAGTTTACTATTCGGTGTATTGAATCACGTCAGTCTTAACACTAAAGATGCCACAAGTATTCGAAGTTTGACAATACTTTTATGATCGAAGCATGTCAACCCAATCAAATCAGAAGTCAGAAGCGAAGAGGCTTTAAGACATATTTGAAAGGATATCGATATATTGGGAAGCGTCCGATTTAAGCTGGCTAACGGTTGTAAGAGATGAATGACACGGAGTACCCGGTCGTGATCTGGTGTGGATGCATGACCGGGCGCCTTCAGCTAGGTGTGTCCGTTATAACTAGTTGGGTCGGCACCAAATGCTGAAGACATACAGAAATGTTTATTTTGAGGATTTATTTACCTCTTAAGACTATTCAGTTTTGTCCACCAATTTCAATGTTCCTACTCCCACTCTACAATGTTTAATACAAACAACCAGCAGTAACCTATCCTGACAATTGTTAGCTCTGGCGACTCATTTGAAGTACTCCTTTAAGCGGAAACTTGACCTATTCTTAATGACTAAGGATAACATCTTATTTTGATTTACCAATTTCTTTTTTTCCTCTATTATCGTTAATATACCTAGGTTCCTGCCTTGAGGTATTGGTGATCCACTGCTACTAGACACGGAAGCCCGTTAAGCGGAAGCTTCTCCCATTCTGTCCACAACCATTTTAACCATTTGAATCTGAGCTGAGAAATGTTCAATCACTCAAAGTAAAAATGTACTAACCCCTAAATAACCATTAAACTTATTAGGACGACTGTAATCATCTGTTACCTTACCCTTGTCAGAGAAAAATCCATTGTACTAACAACAAAACAGAAACGTAATGAAATTAAATGATTGATCGCAGCTCGTCACATAGGAATAGGAATATCACTCTGGAGGTCAATCAAATTTGAGCGCAACAATGGGCAATCCCAGGATCTTTTTCGTTTTGTTATCAGACGGTTACTTTAAAGTAAAAAATATCGTCTGGGGATGCGATCTTGTGTCTTTCAACCAGTTAGTGGATACCTATAAGCAAAAAGGACTCAACTTTGGCGTAAACAGTTTAATACAAATAAATATTTCTGTTTTTGTCCTTTTCCATGAACTGGTAAGTATTCTTTGGTTTGCTCATTAATTTCAAATGAATAAGAGGACTTTTGGATTTATCAAAATGTAAAATCATTCCAATTCTGCCACGTTACTGTCATCATCGTATTTAATTGTTAGCACCTATGTTCGGAATAGCTCAATGTTGCGTAGTATTTGTCACAGTGAGGCTTAATAATTTAAGACTCCGTCTCATTCCGTCAGCGGTTTTTTATATGCAAGCGAAATCTTCGTAATATGCGGGTTTTTCCCATTCAGCAATCAAGTTTGGAGACCAACTATTAGGAGAAATGGTATCCAGACTGTTAGTTGATTCGCTCAAGAAAATATTCAAGTCAAAGTAGCACGCTCAAGCAGGCTCATACACTTTTTTCCCAAAATGTAGATCTACAATCTAGTCTAATGGCATAGTCACCCGTTTTGCTGACTATTAGATTGGTATTTATGTTCCTTTAAGGTGTTCTATCTGGATTGGAGAAGAAACTTGAAAATATCTAATTCCTGTGTTTTGTCGATGTTAACTGCTTTTTAGTGGTTTGCTAGTGAATGCTTCCTTGAACCCCTACATCTGTTTCAGGAGACAGACCAGTATCACTAGATTATACACAAGCCGTAAATTCCCTTCAAAGACGTAAAAATCTACATGTCCACCACGTCAAATTACATGAATGTCACGTACATCTTGCCGTTTCCTCGTAAGATGTGTTTTGCATTGTTTGTTTGCATACTGGGTAACTATATACATTTAAATATAAAAGACAAACAATCCACTTCAGTAAGCGGCCCTCATGGGTACAGTGTAATGAGAAGAAAAGCTCGAACTTTGAGCTCGTTTCTGTCCTGACTTCAGAATTAATTACATTTTTAGGTGGGTCTAGAACTATCTCATCTAGGGTCTTCAACAACATCTAGGTTTAGAAGTAACCTGATATCGCCCAGATTTTTGTTTTTAATTTCCATATAATCATCGGAAACCAATATGATATTAGACAAACTGGTTCCTCTGTGGTTATATTCCCTTTCTCACGAACTAGAACAATTAACGTCGATGTTAACCTAATGAAATTAAGTTCTGTCTAATATGTGGAGCGTTTAATTGATTGAATCAATTAATTAATTTCTACTTAATAATTTAGTGAAGCTCCTCAACCATACTGAACAACTTTTGGGGTTAACCTGCCAGGTCCTATACCTTCATCGCTCAAAGTTACCTATTTCGTTTTCAGCTTCTAATATTCAATAGCTCAATCTGTTATTCAGACTACTAGAGGCACAAGGTAAATGAAGTCAGCCAGTCAGTTATGTTCAAAGTAGGACCCACGACATATATACACCAGTCTAAGTTGTCACACGGCTAGATAAAATAATCGAGACGAATCCTGGAGTAGATGTAGTAACAGTAGTAGTGATAAGAAAAAAGATTAGATGCAGAAGAGATTATTTAAGAAGGTTAGCAGAATCAAACAAATTTACAAAATAAGTTAAAACCTTAGAAAGGCCGATAAAAGTTGTGCACCTGCACTATTCCAAACGATTCTGATCTCTGTCGACCAGTCTCCAAACATTGATTGCGACAGTCATCCAGATCCCAACCAGGCAGTCTACTTCACACATAACTCAGTTCGAGAGATGCCACGACTTGGTTTGACCACGCCTAGCTTTCTTCCAATAATGTCTAATGACAAAGTTAAATAAAAATATTATTTATTATTTTAACACATTGGTACAAGGAGGCACCAAATACATATGCGCCACACAGATCTCATTTGACATGTGTAAGGGCTATGATACTGCCCGGGTGCCCAAACCGAAGCAGGTGGTTTTCCTAGGGGGCCAAACTCCAAGCCTTCGACCTAAAGGTCTGACCCACAAGGCAGTGGAGCATCTTAAGGAGATGCAGTCACATGGTAGCCGGTTACCAACGATTGGTTCATATGCCATTTGTTCCTTCAGGATACTGGAGCCCATGTGCACCATTGGTTTGGGATCCGGTTTAAGCGCCGGACATTCGCTTTTCGTCCTCTCATTTTCGTAAACAACACCCCCCGCCACGAAAAGGCAGTGAGTAGGACTTCCCTGGCAGAGGCTATATACACATGGCCATGTGAGAGCATTTCGAGAGGGAGGGTGGACTCTCTCCACTCTCGGCCGTACCAGGACATTTGGGGCAACGTATACAAGGTTAGTGTATTTCCTTGGTGCACTTTTCAATGAGACAATAGTATAAAACCTGTTGATCTACTGAATCGAACACTGCCTTAAGGTCTAGAAATATAACTACAGTTCGAAGTCGGTAGGTATGTCTGTGTTCCAAAAGCCGATGAATGGGGAATATCTAATCGAAATATTTACACTCATTTCTGAAACCAGTCTAGTTTTCTAGGCGAGTCCTAGTTAACCGTCAGATTATTAAGGCCAATATTTTAGACACCATATTAATCAAACTGATTCCACTGTGATTATGACCATTTAGATAGGATTACGTCCAGTTCCTATACTCTGGTTAATATTACAGCCAACTTCTAAAGTTGAACTGCTGCTCTCCTTTACTCTAGAGTAGATATGTCTTCCTGCTTCTTTAAGACTCGGGGTTTATATTGATATCTCTTTAAGTTGTCTAGTAAAAGTGAGCAACTGATGGGAAGCTAAAAAACAGTTAAACCATTCTTCAGTGCCTCGCCCATTGTCCCAGTTTCATTGGCTATAATTGGGTTATTGCCCCATCTTTTTCAGAAATGGTCTCAAATTTTTAATACCTGTTTTTCTTGATAGGTATGTAAATTTGTCTACTGTTACCTATCTCGGCCGCCTTTTCCATCGCTTCTACTTCCGCTGCTTATCACCGCTCAATATTATTGCGTAGACTTTTCAGTAGACACTACAGATATTCACTCATTTTCATTAACCTTTAAGTTACGGTCTCCTGTAGATTTCACTATTGTTTTCAGAGCTGTCCGTAAAAGGCTTAAGTCCTAGGGTGCGACATCGGGATGAACAGTCAGTAGGGGAATCGATTTTGGGAATTTTACGGGCGAAGTACCGTTGTATTCCTTGCACCTTCAGCCTGTCAGATTGGCATAGATCAAAAAATAAGAACCAGCAGTATTCACTGATGGGTTTTTAGATAGGTCTTGTATAAAATAGTTCTAGATTCATTTTGAAAAAGGTTATGGAGAATAAAACTTGACAATTTTTACGACTCCAACAGTAATGTAAATATGTACGAAGATGACATGAATATGTCAGTGATACACTTCTAAGACACTCGTAGAGACATGTTTGGGCATTATTGAGGAATTCAAGAGGGGGGTTTATTATGAATACAGTAGTCTCGAGTGCTGTTTGAGGTTTGAGGGCGGTTATCACTTCCCGATTGCCCACACGTGCAAAGGGTTCTTCTGGAGGTACCTGAAAAGGAAATTAGGTTAGAGGTGATCTTAGTGACCTGAAAGCGTGACATTAGTGCCCAAGGTACAACTGCTTGAGGTCGGTCACACACGACCATTTTATGAGTAGTTTTTGTGTTAGTTCTGTACTTGTTAAAACCTTACCGCCGGAGACGGATATCCGTGGGATAAGGCGAGGTGTGCATTTTTAGGGTCGACCTTTTCTAACCCCACCCCTCCTTGCGGGAAGGCAGCATCGCTGTTATGCTGGTTGTCTGAAGGAAACACCTTACTGCTGTCACACCTCTGTACAGTCAGCAGTACAACTTCGCCTTCGGACCTTGGGTTTGTTACTTTTAGTCTTACCGCTCTTCAACCGACCTGTCTGACATGATAGGACTTTGAAGAACTGTTGTTCCAGCAAGTATAGCTCGATTGGTTCATCACGATAGGCAAGCCTGACGACTACGTCAAGGTGGAAACAACGGTTGGGTGCCAGAATGTTTGGAATGCGTTCTCTCCCTCCAAATGCAAGTTGTTGCTTCAGGACTGGTCTGCGTCAACATCTGAACTAAGGGTAGGGAGTAAAGTAGTCGAACGCGTTGAAAACTTCACTTATATTGGAAGTCTGACCAGCCCTAATGGGTTGGTGTCTGACGAAATTTCAGAACGGATTCGAAAAGCTCGCTTGGCCTTCGCCAACTTACGTCATCTATGGCATCAGTGCTTGAAGTCACTAACTTCTAATCTGAGCCATGTTGGTAGATGCAGACTGCCTGGTTGGGGTCCGCGTGACTATCGTAACCAATGGTTGGAGACTCTTGGTGACATGGTTCAGAATCGATCACAATGGCATAGGTGTATACACTCTTTGTCTTCCCTTAAACTAAGAGATTAGCATCACTTCATATCTTTCTTTCTACGAACTATTTCTTATTTATCTATAACAGTCTACCCAATGCTCAATCTATTCGAAATTGTCAAATTAAACCTTGGTAATTATATCTTTCTTCCTGTACTATATCCTTATATGCAATCTTTCTTTTATATATTACCACCATTGACTTAACCACCCCTGTGAATCCGGTTTCCATCTTTTTGTGCTAATGAGGTATGGCAACTTGGACCGATGCATATATGTGCCTGGTCCTACGTTGTAGCTGACTAACTGTTTGGGCATTATGTTTTCATTAAATGTGAGCTATATTTTAACTAGGGTGTCTCGCATGCACAACAAACTGGATTTCTACATGTTGACTTCTAAACTTCATTGTTTACACCTACTTTACTCGTTTCATTCCGGATTGTTTACGTAGTTCATCTCACTTCACCGCTGTTAGTCTTATAGATAACTTTCCAGGTATCTCTGTAGGGTAGATCCTACCTTTGTTGAAACATCTGCATATACTTTAATACAAGTTCTGGCGAACAATGAACCCAAGACAATATTTTGGACAATAACACTGATTGTTGGTAGAGATGTGGATGTTTCAGAGTTGATTTTATTTCGTTGAAATCTGTTCGTTAGAAAAGATATATCTCAGTAGAGGATTAATAGTTCTTATGGACTTGAATTTATTGATTAAGGGGTTGATAGGTATTATATCAAAGTCCATCTTGAAAAAGATGCGCAGTATAATTACTAGTTGTTTTCGGTCGCGAATGCGAGTCATCAGACACGTTGCACATGACCTTGTTCTAAGGAAGCCGTGTTATAAGGAATCGATTAGGCATTCCCCTCGTAGGTAACTAGATTGATGATTAATCACTGCTGTTGTGCGCAAGATAACAGGTGGTATTTATTGGTCTGTAGTTCTGTACTACATTTTTCACTTGTCTATTGTTCGGAAATTATATAAGTTACCTTTAAGGTTTCTGGATATGTTTCAGCTAATAAAGAGATAGTAAAGAGTGTTGGTATATCACCCGGCTTCTTAAAGAAAACAGATGCGATACCATTGGTAACTGAGCTTCTGTTAAGTTTTGGTGGAATGAGTGATACTGCTAAGACTGAAGTTTGTGTTACTAAGAGTTTTTTGCAAAGAAGTTAGCATCTGTATCAGGGATATGAGATGTACTCACGTTGGTGGAGAATCAGTTACTTAGTAGTTCACAAATGACCTGTTGGTCATCATATTTGACTCCGTTATGTGGCATAGAGGGGATGTTATAGTTTGCATCCTTCTTCATTCATTTCTCTCACAGACAACAGAGTTTCTGCGCTTTGAATATGCCGTTGGTCGCTGTATTATTGTTATTCGCCAAAGCATCTAATCCCCTTTTCGTTAGCACAATTGTTTTGAGAACATGGTGTATGTATAGTTACGTGGACTGAATTCACCAGGTTTATGAAACTGAGTTGAGAGGGAGGAGTTTGGTTCTTATTTAACTACTTATGAATGGTTTATGTTTATGTGCAGGTTTGGGAAGGTGTCATTAAAAAATTTGATTAAAACAATATTCGAGATTTGTGTACGGTGTAACTAAATGCCCCCAAATGCCCTGGAACGGCCGAGAGTGGGGAGATCCGCTCTCCCTCTCGAAATGCTCTCACACGGCCACGCATAAACAGCCTCTGCCAGGGAAGTCCTACTCACTGCCTTCTCGTGGCGGGGGTGTTGTTTACAAAAATGAGAGGACGAAAAGTGAATGTCCGGCTCTTTAACCGGACCCCAAACCAATGGTGCACATGGGCTCCATTATCCTGAAGGATCGAATGGCGTATGAACCAATCGTTCGTCACCGGCTACCATGTGACTGCATCTCCTTAAGATGCTCCACTGCCTTGTGGGTCAGACGTTCAGGTCGAAGGCTCGGGGTGTGGCCCCCTAGGAAAACCACCTGCTTCGGTTTGGGCACCCGGGCAGTATCATAGCCCTCACACAAATCAATTGAGATTCGTGTGGCGCATATGTACTTGGTGCCTCTCTGTACCTATACTTATGTGTTAAAATAAATAAATAAATAAATAATCTCAGTTAGTTCTAAACAATAGATTCAGGTTTTCCTTCTGAATTTTCCACATCAAGAAACGGACGAGTTATGCTTACTGGGATTATGCAGAAATATATCGAACGAAGAGAGAACCGTTTTGTGATGGACACCTGTAAACAGGTAGCTAAAATGAATGGTACTAGGAAAGATACCGTATGTAAATATGTGGTCTACGGCGTTTTTGTTCAACTTGGGGAATAAGATATTCTGTGTCCGTCTGTAGGATTCGATTGTTTTTGCTAGTTTTTTATACTTTAACGGGAACTTATAGGGACATTTTTGTCACATATCCTGC